ATTCTTTTTTAAAATATTAATTTTTAAAAGAAAATATTTCATATATAAATATATTATTCCGGCGAGACACGTTTCCGGCGGATTTCCGGCGGTAATATCCGCCGGAATTTTTTTTTAAAAAAAATTTAATTACTTTTTAAGTTAATCAAGATTCTTTTAAAAAACGGGCGGAGATTTTCCGGCGGCCGAAATCCGCCGGAAAAGTGTAAAATCCACCGGAAACACCGTCGGAAAAAAAAACACCGGCGCCCCTTTTTCCGGCGGCCAAATCCGTCGGAAATCCGCCGGAAATACCTTTTTCCGGCGGATTTCCGGCTGATTTGGCCGCCGGAAAAAGGGGGTTTTTTGTTAGTGTGTCTTCATTTTTTTTTTATTATAGAGAAAGTTTTAGATAATCTGTTGAAGCAAAAATTTGTTCAAAATCTTAATTTTCTTCATTTGAAATGATTTATTGAAAATACTGTAACATAAATTAATACAGTATAAAGATATCTCACAATTTCTCACGTTTCTCAAAAGCAAAATTCCCACGTATTGTTATATTACAAGGCGAACTAAACTTCGGGTTGAATTAGGAACAGATTTATTAAAACATCGATATTTAAGTTATGATCTTGTTGTGTCGGCTTCATTTTCTTTAAAGAACTAGAAAGAATTAGTCTCTGTAACCTTTTAAGGTTTTAACAAATAAAAATCATAATAAATTAATTTTAATTACTATGATTTTTTTTATTATACTTCATTTTAATTAATTGATGTTATGCTATATACATTCAAGAAAACCTTCCATTTTTATATATTTTAAGAAAATTAGTAAATAAAAATTATGAGACCGTGATTTCATAATTTTTTTTAAAGAATTGATATTAATTGTTTTTCATTTAAAAATAACTAATATGGAATTAATAAAAGAAACATAATGCAAAGCTAATTATGAATAAATGAAACGTAAATTTAGATATTAAATAGAATATTTTTAACACAAAAGTTGATATAAATAAATAGTATTATATCAAATTTGGCATTTGATTGTCATACTATAATAAAATCAGGTTTATAGGACGTAAAAAAAAAATTAAACGTCATAATAGACCGTTTTATAAAACTTGTTTTATATGACCAAAAAACAAAATTTTCTATTTAAAGACGTAATAAGTTTATAGAACATTTTTGGACGTTTTAACAAGTTTTTTGAGACACTTTTAATGCAAACACATTAGCAATTTTATAGTTAAAAAAGTGTTACGTAAAAACAAGTGTTTTGGAAAAAAAGTGTTTATAAGATACCTTCTCAAGAGTATCATATAAAATTGCTAAAGCGATGTTCTGTATTAAAAGTGTCCTAAAAATTTGTTAAGACGTCCAAAAGTGTCATATCAACTTGTTACAACGTCTTTAGATAGAATGCATTATATATTTGGTTTTATAAATTAAGTCTTATAAAGCGTTTTATTAGGATGCTTAAACATTGATAACATTCTATAAACCTAATTTAAATTGAATCCAATACAAGATTTAGTGTTGTATTCAAAATGTTTTGATAGCATATAAATAAGACAAACAAATTAAATATGAATCCAAATAAATTAAAAATGAATTATAATGCTAATGTCCATTGCTTATGTCATTGGTTTACACCACTAGATGCTTTATTTAACAAGTTTATTAACTAATTCATTCCTTAAATAGAAAATTTATGTTAAGTGATTTTAGTGTCATCAATTATTTTAGTGTGATTATGACTTACATAAGATCGATTAGACAAATATAAGTGAATTAAGAGGTACGGAGTGCATAATCACAAATGTTGTCTTCATCACCTTAGATCACTATAAGTCGGTGGTCAAAGGGGTCACGCCTCTGGGCTTTGGCGGGACCAAGAGGCAGAGCCCCTGGCGGTAGTTTGGACAGTTTCGAAATGATTTGAACGAATTTTGAAAATGTTAGAAACCTTTTTGAAATTGTTCCTGAAATTTGACTGTGTAGATCAGATAGGGCAATCAAAACCTGAACCATAGAACCAGAGTTATGGACTCTGGAACTAGAGTTCTAGATGTTGCTTCTGATTTTGATACAAATGTAACGGCTCTCAAATTTTATCCATTAACGGTTATAACCACTTGTAACCATCGATCTCTCATATAAATATGTAAACGAAAATTTGGGTGTATATAAGAACTCAATCTCACAGTCTTTGAGACGAGAGTTTCTCTTGGGTTATTGGAATATGAAATCTATGATACCCAAAGTAATAAGGAATGAATTATAGTATTTGGAAAGTGAACATTCACAATCTAACGATATCATCTGATCCACGAATTATCTCCAATTCCCAGTTCCTAACAATTTATATAACAAAAACAAGTTAAAATTTAATTTGTTTCTCCAAAAAAAATTGATGTATAATCCAATAAAAGTTCAAGAGTAATAATTAAACATCTGAAATACTGTTTCGATAATAAACACTTGCAAAACGAAACATTCACAAAATACATGTGAAGGTAAGTATATTGTGTCAATATGACCACTCTTATAAGATTCTGATTGAAATAAACATTCAGGTACTGTCGTCTTCACTCTCTCTACAAAACATTCGAGTAATTCCAATTGGTTCTCGAAAATAGAAAATCAAAATCTAAAATCTCTAAAATAGTTCTCTTCAAATTTTTGGTGTTTGAAATTAAATTAACTTCAAATATACACACACGTGTTTCTAATAATAAATAAACTAAACCAAACGAGCACAGTATATTCTAATATAGAAGCTGAAATCTTGCTGATGAGATGTGCAAATAATTGTTCTCTACCACAAATGGTATAGCAGTTGATTATGTAAAGCACAAAGTGTGAGCAAAAGAAAATTTACCTAAAAAGTTTCTACCAAGACAAGTTACATTGAATCATCAGACTCATCAGTATCGCTTCTCTCAGGCCCCCCAGCATTTGTTCCAGCCTCGGAAACATCAGGCTTCGCCACGGGTGCAGCTACAGCTTTCTTCCCAGCATTGCGACCAATCTCATCGCCAACTTCCTCTTGCTCGGCCATTTCCATATGTGAAATCACATGTTAAGGGAAATATGGAGAACCAACAGTCTAAAATTCAAAATACTATTAAGAAAAACTGAGAATTTCTTTCACTGAAACCTTTCTAGTTTGCAGCTTCAGATATATGGTTTTGATTATACTGCAGTGTTTTCTGAGAAAAGGTTCTAGTTAACTAACTTGTGTTGGAGTCCCACATCGGCTACACTTTGGACCTTTCTACTTCAATATATGCTGAAAAGGGCTCTTTTGGAGAGTAATGTGATAAGATTCCACATATCTTAGATAGTATCAGAGCCAAGGTCTATGAGGGAAAGTGTTAGTGTCCCACGTTGGCTAGACTTGGACCTTTCTACTTCAATATATGTTGGAACTCCCTGCTCTCCTTAAGGACTCTTACGCTTTGCATTTAGGTTCAAAACAAACATCTGATACGTTTCACTATCATGCATTTTATCAATACGTACCCTACAGAAAATTAAGTAAATCTGCTGAAAATAAAACGGATGGATATCAACATTTTCAGCTGTTCCACCATTCATGATGTTCAGCAGATCTTTCTCTACTCGCCGAACAAGTTCAGGCTGCAAATGATATCAAATTTCAAAATCAGTCATGCTGTCGCCGGTGGTGGATATCAAACAACCAATCACCAGAGGTGGATACCCAAATCAGCTAGACACAGACTATCATACCTATATATATATATATATATATATATATATAAACCTCCTCTCTCTAAAATGCTCTTTTAGAGAGAGATTCAAAGAGTTCCAAATATCCTAGCACCCAAAAAAACGAAAAACGGGTAGACAAAACTTCAACCAAAAATGGACGAGGATGAGGGGTAATCGTACATTTAAATCAGGCTCCCTGCGAAATATTCGCCTTCGAGCATCTCTCATTGGAGGGGTAAGACCATGACGGTGCTCCACCACATCTGGAGCAGGATCACCCTTATCTCTAACCATAATCATCTGTCACGATACAACTGTGTCACTGGACCAAAAATACAATCAATCATGTTTATGTGAAACATAACATTGCCTACTTGGCCAACATCTGCAGTTTTGATCAGAACACTGTCATCGTAAGTCTTATAAGACTCCACGATGCAAGGAAGATCCAGGAGGGATGCAGGAAAATGCTCATCACCTATGACGAATGTGCCACTCCTCCCATCATCTGCATTAACGAACAAATAAATAGCAAAATTAAAGTTCAAAGACCATAATATTACTAAAAAGAGAACAAAAAAAATTCTTCTTTGACATCACTCAAACCGACTAAAATTGAACCTAAGTCATTATATTATGACCAAAACACGGGTTTGTATAAAAGCATGCTATTAACCATTTGAGAAAATGATCTCACATGTTAATTATCTAGTTCATACTAGATTTTAATACTTAATTATGAAATAATCAAGATTATCACGAATTCAGCTATGACTATAAACAGTTCTAATAAATATTAGTGGCTGAAACAAATGTGAACATTCTTGGCAGCCATGTGTAGTATTACATCACTCAAGGTTTAAATTGGACATTTATAAGTAAATCGAACGTAAGGTCATAACTTTACCAGAGAAAGACAAATCCAGTGACTTGTCTTCTGAAGAAGATGCGCTCTCACTTAAGAGACGATCTATATGCTGGGCAACAGAAGGTGGCACTCTCAGTATAAACTGTTCCTCCATTCTTCTTCAAACTGAGAAATCTGTTCAAAGTCCAAACTCATCAAGATCTATATTATACACAAAATAATCATCTAATTGTAATAAGGCATGAGAGTGGAAAATGATTCATGATGATATAGAAAAACAGTTGATATGAACACAGAACGGTCAACTGGGTTCGTGAGTTATAGAGTTTCTAAGCAAAATTTCAATTTGGTGATTGTGTGGAATCGAAGAGTTATAGCTCGCATAAAACAGGGATTTCACTTCAGTTGCTTTCGGGGGGAAAGGGGGCAATAATTGGGAAAATATCATAGAGGGTTCATATGCGTTTGTGATTATAATTTTTTCAAATACAATCGTTCAATTCAACGATCAGCCACAGCAATTGAAAGGTTAGAAACTCGCGCCGAAAGAAAATCGTGAAGATGAATGGGTCATGTGCGCTTGTGTACTGATTTCTTCAACAAATTCTCCAATTGCATTCCCATTTACCACTCTCTGTAATGATAATCAACTTGAACGACAACTTATAAAAAAACAGTAATTGTAGAGAATCAAATAGGTTTCAAGAAGAAACAAAGCAACATGAGGCCATGAATGATGACGAATTCAAACCTGGTTCGCTGATGGTGGGAATACGATCTTCCTATCGAGATTCAATGGAGATTCCCAAACCTGATCGTCGAAAATTGAAGAACCAGTAAAGAATCTTGGAGGGCTTCAGAAGAACTTATGATTCAACTCGATAGGGTTAGACCGACATACACGAAACAAAATTGTCATTGAACATTGGGGAATATATTTTTCATACAGTAAATTACGTTTTTAGTCCCTGTGGTTTGATAAAAAGTACGGATTTCGCCCCTGTGTTTTCGGAATCACCGTTTTCGTTCATATAGTTTCCGATTCATTGTTTTTTTGGTTCCGCTAACTACTACATTTAAGTATGTGGAACTAAAAGAATAATAATTGTAAACCATGGGAATAAACACAATCGTAAAGCTTAAGAACAAAAACAACAATAAATTATAACACGGAAACCATAATTTCTATAACACAGGGACGAATATAACAATTTCAATCATAGATTTCTAAAGAACATATATTTTTTTTCTCATGTATTCAGTTCCTTATAAGGCAAACCATTATGGTTTTAATACCATTTGTAACATCCCAGACAACCGTATCAGATATTATTCCGTTTTGTTCATATCTGGACTCATGGTTTTAAAACGCATATGATAGATATGGTATTCAGTATCTTATGAGGCAACCTTAATTACTCTCTCAAACCGATGTGGGATATTACACAAAAACACAGTGTTAGAAATGGTGCCTTACTAATTTGACTCGGCTCCAACGTATGCTCAACTCACCTGACCCAATCAAATGAAGATCCGCTGCATAACCGTGGAATGGGGATAAAAATAGAGATGGTATTACCCACCCTGCATGGTATAACATGTATTTTGTATTGTTATTGTTATAATATTATTCGTTCTACTATAACTATAATTAATATTTCTTATTGTTTTGTATAATTCATTATTTAGAAAAAAAATAACTAATAACAAATGTTTATGAATCTAGATAAAAGTCAGAAAGATTAGGTGATTATTACAAGTAAACACATAAACACATTGAAATTTTAATTCTTTATGTAGATGATTACATGTACCGCTGTTTTTTATGAGAATAAAAGTTATAGTGAGAACGTTAAAATTTAAAAATGATATTCACCCTTGAATCAATCATAATTGAAGATTCATGCTGATGTGATACATCGAGATGCACCTGATCATTTTCATATCAAACGCAATTCATGGGTTCGGATGAGATTAAAAGTGATCAAATGTTTAGATATCTTCTTATTCTTCTCACCTTAACTTCCATTCTCACACGATCTTTCATATCTCTCTCTCTCTCTCTCTCTATATATATATATATGTATGTGTGTGTATGTATGTATGTATGTATGTATGTATGTATGTATGTATGTATGTATGTATGTATGTATGTATGTATGTATGTATGTATATGACTTGGGATCATGTGAGACCAAGGGTTTTTCATGAGACTCGCGAGATCAATTCTAAACCCTTGGATTAGATCTACAATTTGAACATTCATAATCACAAAATTGTCATGAGACTTCTCAATAGTCACAAAATTGTCACCGTTCAACTTTAGACCATTAGATTATTAGCTTATAAAATTGATCAATAACCATAAATTGGTCTTACGAGTCTCACGAAAAACCTTTGGTCTCACGTGAACCCAACCCTATATATATATATATATATATAGAGAGAGAGAGAGAGAGAGAGAGAGAGAGAGATTGTTTCAAATACAACCTATCGCATTTGTACAACTAATGGAACCCAATAAATTGAAATACTTATGAAAATAATGAGAGTTCATTTATTATGAATTAAATATTTATGAAATATGAATATGGTTCATTAATTATGATTAATACTTTATATTAGGAAATAATCAAAACTTCTATAAATTACATATTCATCAAATTAAATGGACGGTTGAGATTGAGTTGTATTGGTTGTTCAAATGTAAGAGGTTGTATAATAACCCACCTATATATATAGGTAGGTTTAAACGAGAAGCTAAACATTTTGCGAGAAAGTGATAAGTTTCAATAATCATATATGATTAAACATACCCAAATGAGTATAATCATATATGATATTGAAATTTCTCACTTTCTCATTAAATATTTAACTTCTCGCGTGTGTGTGTATATATATATATATCAGTAATTAGAAAAAACAAACCACTTTGTTACTCTTTTTTGTTGGTGTATGGCTTTTTGGCATTTAATAAGGCCAACTAAATCCCAATTTGGAGGGAATATGTTGTTCCATGTTTGCATAATTGTAAATTGTTGGTTTTGCCAACCTTTTATCATCATAAAGGTTGTTGTATGGGGTATGCACCTACCTGCTACACCATAACTTACATTTATATCCTTTTTCTTTATCAACTCTATGTTTTTTAATCATCTGATCTTAATATTATATTTTTTATTTATACATGACAATTACAACATAAATCATAGTTCAGAAGTATTTTTAAAAACAATCTCTGCCTTTTAATACTTAAAAGAAAGATAGTCCGGATACATGTTATCTTCTTATCTTACTTCAGGTGACGTTCGATTCATAGATTTGTAAACATGTATTACAAAAACAGATTATATATATATATATATATATATACGAGACGTATACCAAAACATATTTGTCAACATAAATATATACCAAAGCATTATGCTATTTTCGAGTAGAAATCGAGAATAGAGAAATCGAACATAAATCGAGAAACATACGTAGTTTTCTAGCATAGATCGAATAGATAATAGAGAAACCGAACATGTGGTGAGTTCATGTCGCAATGGAGAATACAAGAGAGTAGAGCTACAAAGAGTAATCAAGAAGATGAGAAAAGAATGGTGTCAGACTAATGAGATTACGGAATATTTAAAATTATGAAAATATTACGTTCCATTCCATCAAAATGTTACCCATATGTCGTGGAATGTTTAAATCCTTCTTTTGTTGAAATCGTCGGATTTTACATGTTTCTACCCTAAAAAGAATGAATCATAACAGATAATAAAATCCAGTTTCATCATATACCTTTAGAATTTACGAACCAAACATCACCTTAGTTTTCAAATCAGATATACTAAGTTGACTTAATTTTATGACAAGATGTAATTAATATTAAATATAATTAGATGATTTTTATGAAATATCCTAGGTCAATCCTATCAATATTATCCACTTTGTCTACACATTTGAATTCACGGTTTTAAAATGCATCTGATAAAGGATGTATCACGTTAATCTAATAAACTAAACCTTATCTCTAACAATTACTACCATCACTTATCTTATCATCAGGTAACACTTTTTAACAGCAAAATGTATTATCGGTAAACGTGTTTTAACTATTCCAAAGGCTCCAAGAAGAACCCAAATTTTGTTTAAAATGGGGTTCTGATAAACAAAATCAAGAGAAGAAAAGGACAATCTTGAGTGCCGCTGCCCAGGTCAGTCAATATGACAACCTTTTGGTCTTCTTTTCTTTTTATATTTTCCTCTTACATGTGTTGGGTAATATAGAATTCAGCCAACTGGGTGGTGGGGGGTACGAGTATGACTGTACTCCACAATAATTATGCAATAAACAAACAAAAGGGGGGGTGGGGGGGTGGTTTATGAGGAGATCAATCAGGTCAGGATATAGGGATTCAAAAGGACACTCTTTTCACACTTCTCCCCTTTTTCCTTAAACGCTTTGTAAATGCTACCTGCTGCTTTACATTCTTTCCCAGATTTCATTCACATTCGTCCTTGATTGGGTGAACCTTCTGCCATTGAAGAACTACTTGTACAGCTGACACCCCACTGGTATTACCTCTATTTCCTCTGTTTCTTTAAGGTTTTCTCTATGTGGGTTTCTTCAATCTTATCAAGAAACTTATATGGGTGTTCACAAAATGTAATTAAAGCTTTTCTTATATATATATATATATATATATATATATAATTATAGAGTTGAATTAGTTTCTTTGCATATTGGGCTGTTTCTCATTCATTTTTTGCTAGTTGGGAACCTCAAAGTTTGTTTCTTTAATCACCCCTGTCATGGAATTATCAATAGCTTCAGATATTGGTATTATAGTTGGCCAACTGGATTAATTAGTTCAAGTGGTTGGAACTTCTTTCAGAAATTTAATGAACACTATGGTTTGTATATAAGAACAACCTTGGACAAATTGCATATACAGACACAGTTCTTGACAATTTTTGTCCAAGATTACTCAATCTTGCATAGTATAATTGGAGAATAAAAAGGGTAGGCTTTGGACCCCTCCCCATAGGTACTCGGTTCAAGTCTGCTAGGGCCACTAAAGGTTTTTGAGGCTGTTATTCACATGGCTCATTCGATTAGTCGAGGTGCGCACGAGCTGAACTGTTGTCTGACACTTATGGATACCCAAAAAGAAGTTAATAGCTTGTTTGTGTTGGTTTCTTTCTACAATGATAACTCATTTTTTGTATAGCCTTATTGATGGATCCATGTGAATCTGTGTGTTCTTTTTGTGTCATTATTCGTAACTCTTTACAGATGACTATGAAGTTTAAGGGTAAAGAAGGTTGATTTCCAACTATCTGTTGGATGTTTGGAACAATGAGGCTTGAATTGTGGCTTGGATCTCTCTTGCTTATATTTGGCAGTTTGGTTAATGCAGCAGGTATGCCACTTGTTCTTGCAACTTCATTTCATCTAGTAGTTTTTACCATATATAACTAGTTTATTAGCTAGTTCTTCTGTCATCAGTTAGTTTATCAGCTAATTTGCCAAACAGGTGAAATGTACTATATGTTTATATACTTGAATCTGCAGAAGCATTCGTAGGAATGAACATTGGCGCTGATCTTTCAAACCTGCCATCGCCGGAGCAAGTGGTGGCAATCCTTAGAGCCCATCAAATAACACATGTTCGGCTTTTTAACACTGATGCTCGCTTGCTTAGTGTGCTATCAGACACTGGGATTGAAGTTATGATTGGTGTTTCTAATGGTGAAGTCTTGGCAATTGGAAAATCAGCATCAGCTGCAGCGTTGTGGATCAACCAACACGTTGCAGCGTTCCTACCTGCCACCAATATCACCGCCATTGCTGTTGGTGATGAAGTTCTTTCTTCAAACCCGGCCGCCGCGCCTCTTCTTGTTTCAGCCATGAACTATCTTTATAAAGCTTTAGTTGCTTCAAATCTAAATGACAAGATTAAAGTGTCAACCCCTTTATCGATGGAGATGATTCCGAAGCCTTTCCCGCCATCCACTGCCACTTTTAATGCTTCTTGGAATTCAACGGTACACGAGATTCTTCAGCTTTTGAAGAACACAAATTCCTTTTACATGTTAAATGCTTATCCGTACCGTGGGTATGTACAGAGCAATGGCATTTTTCCGATTCAATATGCGCTCTTCCAGCCGCTCCCGGTGGTCAAACAGATTGTTGACCCGAACACACTTTTTCATTATGAAAGCATGCTTGAGGCCATGGTGGATGCTACTTATTATGCCATAGCTGCGTACAATATTACAGTGATCCCTATTATCGTTACTGAAACAGGGTGGCCATGGTCTGGTGGCGCCAATGAAACCGATGCCACCGTGGAAAATGCCGAGACTTTTAACAATAATTTGATTCGGCGTGTTTTGAGCGGGTCTGGCCCACCAAGTCAACCTGCTTTTTTGATGAACTCATACATCTACGAGCTGTTTAATGGAGGCACAGGATCCGAGCTGGATTCAGACCGAAGCTATGGCTTGTTTTTTGGCAATGGGAGTTCGGTCTATAATCTCGATCTTGATTTTTCCACGGGGAATTCTTCAGGCGGATTTTGTGTTGCAAGAAAAGGGGCGGATCCTGCTAGCTTGCAAAACGGTCTGAATTGGGCATGTGGTCAAGGCCAGGCGAACTGCAGCGCTATTCAGTCAGGCAAGCCGTGTTATTTGCCTAATACAGTACAAAACCATGCCTCTTATGCTTATAATGACTATTACCAAAGAAAGCGTGGCGTGGGCGGAACCTGTGATTTTGGTGGCACGGGTATAACGACTACAGTTGATCCAAGTACGTTCGTTTGACTCTTCTCATCATTGTTTTAGATTACGTTAATGATTGTTAGGATATGTGAAACCCCTTTGAATATCTCTTCAAAAGAGCTTGTATAACGAGATGAGAGGTTCCTACACACACACACGTGTGAAAGAGTACGTCAATCCCTAGATGTTGTAGATGCTTACCTTGTTGAGATATGTGGAACGCATTATACTCTTTGCGTTTGGTATGTGTTAGAAGTCCCACATCGGCTAGACTTTTATTAGGCTCTTTTCAGGAGTAATCTAATGGGCCTCTGCATTTTAGGTATCAGTGAGACGAGATTTACCACTGTCAGGACTCGACGTTGTGGGGCAGTCCGAACTGGTCTAACCCCCTCTCGACACTTTGGACAAATTGTTCTCATCTAGCCTCCATTGGATGGTTCAAGTCCCTCATTTGTATTCATATAGCCCCCTTCTCTTCTCAACGACTCTTTTGGAGAGTAATCTAATGGGGTACCACGTATTCTCACAGTTAGTTTAGTAATTTCCAATTTTCCGTTCCACCTATTTGGTTGGGATCGAAAAATACACTTTTCTTGTCCTGTTATGTCCCAGTCTAAATGTCGTACCAAACATGGAACAACAACCTTTTGTCCAGTCCTGTCATGTGTTCCAAACGCACCCTGTAAACATTAGCCAACACGGGGATCCAACAATGTTATAAACGAATAGAACCCTAGTTGTTATGGTGATTGACAAGAATTTTGTTGCATCTTTCTCTTGCAGGTTACGGATCCTGCATATTTACAGGAAGGTATGCAAACAGGACCCTGCAGACAATTCTACGATCTCAACATTATTTTGATCTCTTTGACTAGATTGCTAATGTGTAAAACGTGTTTTTGAGCAGTTCAAACTCGAGCGCTGGTAGGGTCGGTCCGCCAGCATTTGGACCCGCGGGTCCCACAGGAAGTACATCGCGGCCGCATCAAGTTCCTGAAATCGGGTATTTGATCTTGGCAGCATTGTTAGTTAGGATTATATAGTTGATTCTTTTTGGCTCACAAGCTGGTCATTGCAAAGTGATTTGTTGAATTTTGTGTAAGATTGTTGGTGGTCAGATGACCTTGAGATCGGACCGGGAACGGTAAAACCGGCCCCAAACCCCTAGTTCCACTCAACCATGGAACTGTCGGGATTTTAGAGGTGATCATTTGTGGGATTGGACCATCCAACGAGCCTTATATACCAAATTCGAACCCGTGTTGAAATTACGAGAAAGAGGATGAAGTTCTTCAAATTTGGAGATTTTTTCAAAAAATGATTAATTATGAGAGAAAAATAATTTTTTATTCATTCTACCAATGAGATTGCTTGAATTTACATGTGTAGGAGATATAAATAATATGTTATGAGTTGTATTAAATACTTTAATAATATAATAAATTGTGTAATCTTCAAAATAGAGAATATGTTGGAGATGGAAATATTTTTTTTTAGAGAATTTGGCTGTGTATGGCAGGCTATTTGATAAGCTAGTTGTGGACTGATAAATATTTAGTTGATGAACAAATCATGTTTGGTAAAAATTAATTGATAAACAGATAAAATGACCAAAAAGATATGAAAAATTAGTCCATTACAATCTTTTATAGTATAATTAAAACATATATTTAATAATACAATATATTAATAAAAACAAGATAGTAAAGAAAAATTTAAATAATATAATATGTTATCTAAAAGAATTTTAAATTAATTATTAGATATATTATAAATTTGGATTTGTTAAAACAAATTTTAGAAAAAAATCTACATAAATTTATAATAATAAACAATCATTATATATAAAGTGAATAATCGTGTGAGAAGGAAAGTTGTGGTGAGAAAGTTTAGAAGAGATCTGAACCTTTAATTACTTTTACTTTCATGAATTGCGTTTTAGAATGAAATTGATCTGGTATATCTCGATGCATCTCATTAGTATTGACATTCAATTATAATTGATTCATAGGTGGATATCTCTTATTACAGTTCTCATCATAACTTCTCTTCTTACAAGAACTTAATCCTATATATAATATGAATAGAAATAAAATTTGTAAATCTTATATATCGTAATTAATTAATATTTTTTAAAAACTATAATTAACAATTAATATAAATATTTTATTAAAATTATT